AGAACGCTACTAGTATCCACACTCTCTACATTTACTTTGTTTCACAAGTTTGGGCTGGAGGCGATCTACCCCCCATGGCAGCTGGGGCCCGATATCCGATTTTCTTGGCGCCTGGAAGCCAGGCCCAAGGCACCCAAGGCGCGCGAGTCGATGAATTCCTTGCGTTTGTTGCTGACACTGCCTTTGTTGTTTGAGGAACTATGGATCACTATAGCATGTGTTTCGCAATGTGATGAATGTGTTGTCTCGGGAGAGAAATGCTGGCTTGAGGCATACTGCGACAGTGCTCCGGTCAAGGTCACTGGCAGGCCGGGCAGAAGCACTGGATGAAGAAGCAAGGTCTTGGTAAGTGGAGCTGTTGGGCTACCCACGTCATTTGTTCCCTATAAGTACAGTTCTTTTAAACAGATCGACAAACGAAAGGAAGAAAGGAAGACAACAAACTGGCAAGGGCAGAACAATGGCACCAAACAAGGAGTGGCACAAGTGGATACAAGTGGCACAACCGCCGCCGCTTGTAAGGCATTCCTATTAGGTTGGAGCCATCGCTTTCAGGAGCGAGGACGCTACTAGTCTCTCCTGGCCTTTCTACTAGGAACAAGAAGCAAGGACGCTACTAGTAGCAAGAAGCTACTAGGAGCAAAGGGCATCGCTACTAGGAGCAAGAACGCTACTAGGGGCTCCTGGCCGTAGCTACTAGGGGCAAGAAGATACTAGTAGCAAAGGGCATCGGTCTTAGGTTCCTTTTCTGCTCGTGGCGAGGCCACGGCGTCCACGCAGCATGCCGGGGATTGGAGGCGTCGCGAAGAACCTAAGAGCTGTGCAGGTGCACTTAGTCCTTGCTCCCAATAGCGATGCCAGGAGCACCTTAGTAGCTTCTTGCTCCTAGTAGTATGGCCAGGAGCCCCTACTAGCGTCCTTGCTCCTAGTAGCGATGCCCTTTGTTCCTAGTAGCGTCCTTGCTCCCAATAGCGACGGCCTCCAAGATATGCCGCCATATCTTGAACAGGCAGAACGGCACAATCCATTCGTGCGCAGGTGTGAGCGGCGGCTTCGGAGGGGGGCTCTACCAGGCTCAGGGGAGTGAAACCGGAGGAAACATGCACCTACTAGCTTCTTGTTACTACTAGTAAGGCACTTGTTACTAGTAGCTTCTTGTATCTAGCAATGGATTGATCACTTACTGGCGATGGAAGAAGACTCATGACTTCGAATGCACACTTCGGTCGCATCGGATGTAGCACCAGCACCAGAGAGGTTGTTCTCAGATCGACTGTTGTTGACTGGAATGATTAGTCACCTGTCATATGCGAGTTTAACATAGACTGCACATCCGTTTCCTTTGGCACTCAGCTCCTTGGCATCGGATGCAGCTCCATGTCGATCCTTTCTATTTCCAGCGTGTTTTTTCGATTGTTGTCCTTTGGGGGGGCCCCTCCCTCCCCCCCTGAGCTTGGATCTGGACGGTGGGTACGTTGAGCTGGATGACTGTTCCGTGCAGGTGCGGGAAGCGATATTCACTGGAATGGATGTTGGTCTGGTTTTTCAGGGTGTAACATGATGTAGACCCTGTATCTATTTGTAGCTTGTTGAGGAATTGTACAGATTTCTATTGTGTGGACACATCAATCTGCTTGGCTCATAACTATGGCGACTGCAGCAACACGCGGGGGTTTTCCAGTCATTAAACTTTGGACATGGTATGATATGGTTTGACGAGTTGGGCCAGCTCTTCATTTGATATGACGACGGTGTGGTTGCGTGGTTGATATTCTTGGGGACTTGGGGAGCTTTCTGCGAAGACATTGGTGACTTCTCCATCCTTCGTTTTGGTCAAACGTCTCAATCCTTTCGGTGCCATGCTGGACGCAGAATATCTCACGATTCGAGTAAGACACATGGAGCATGACATTCTAGGTTTCCTTTCTTCTCTACCAAGATGTTGCTAAAAACATCAGACTCTTTACTCATCAGACTGTGTACTCATTGTGACTTGTGATGTCTTTGACTTCTTTGCGATCCGGTCAATGGCTGATGGACGGATTTCTGGATTCCTTCGAGTCTCAACATCCTCACTGGCTCATGAGAAATGATTCCTCACTGCCATATGAGAAAGCCAGACAAAAATAAATTGGATCTTCAACATCTTCAATTCCATCTTTCAAGCAAAGTTCTAGCGGGTTGTCGAGGGTTTGCCACCCCTTGCTGCATCTTGCCTTGGAGAACAGGTGGCCAGCCCAGAGCCGTTTCGGCTGCTGTCCAACTGCCTCGATGTCGAGGTGGGAAGTGGGAAGACGCAAGACAGAATACAGAAGCCGATCTTTAAGGACAGAAGACGGAATAGGAGGGGGGGTAGGAACAAGAAGCAATTAGGAACAAGTGCCTCGCTTCTAGTAACAAGTGCCTTACTAGTAGTGACAAGAAGCTACTAGGAACCATGTTCGCTACTAGGGGCTCCTGGCATCGCTACTAGGAGCAAGGACGCAACTCGGGGCCCCTGGCCTTACTACAGTACTAGGAACAAGAAGCTAATAGAAACACAAAATATGCAGAATTTAATTGAATTAGAAAGGAGAAATGAAAGGAGACACCGAAAACTGGAGGCTGTCACTAGTAGTAGCTCAAAAGAAGATTGTTCCGAACAGTTTCTCGAAAACTCTGGAAACCAAATCAAGCGAAGAACCAGAGCCCTTCTGCGTCCTGTCCCCTATTGATTTTTTATTTGGCCAGGCAGAGGCACCGGATGGATTGCTGCTACCACTACGTCGACATCAATTGCAGTCACTAGCATGGATGCAGGCGCGTTGGATGCAGTCGCTTCCACGGAGCCGCGTGAAAACGCCGCAACAGAGCAACTCTCCAGGCCTGTGAAGCTGAACGGGAGCCCTTGCTTTTGGGCGCCAGCCGAGAGTTTCTTGGTTGACAGCGCAGTGGCAGCGCAACTGCAGAGACATTTCTATTTTTAGGTCTTTTGCAGGGCGTTGAGGTACAGTGGTGGAGCGACTTCTTAGAGAGATTTGCACAGGTTGGAGATTTCAAGGAAGAATTGAGTGAGAGCTCTGCACTTGACCGAACAAACGCCTTTGGCTGTTCAAGTGCCTTGAGCACCCCAGTTGGACTCAGTCACATTTGTGATCCACGGTGTAGGTAAGGTCAGCTCACAGCTCGATCACCTTGAAGGTTGACGCTTTGACCAAGGTTTTTGCCAGCCTTGCAACCGCCGCATGCGGCACAGCAAGTGCTAGTTGAGGCATGTCGGATCAAGCGGCTGTAAGACTCTGCGTCTTTTGACCCACAGCTCTGAAGAACTTCCACGTTTCTTCATGTTTCTTCCACGTTTGTCTGGATGAACTGTCCAGTCAGGATCGGGTAGAGGTGGCCAGGATCTGAACAGAGAGGAGCATACCAACACTTTGGGGAACGGCTGGGCTTGCAAGTTGTAAGAATCGTAAGTGCTCAACGACTTTCTTCGTCACCAAAAACCGGTCATACACAGTCATCCGTTCACACTTTAATCCACAAGCCCATGCTAATTGTGCTTGGAGGCCATCGCTACTAGTAACAAGGGCATTACTACTAGCAAAGAAGCTATTAGGAACAAGTGCCTCGCTACTAGTAACAAGTGCCTTACTAGTAGTAACAAGAAGCTTGTAGAAACAAGAAGCTATTAGGTCGGAGGCCGTTCACATCTTTGTAGCTCGGTGAGGCGGTGAACTGTCGTGCCGTGGCTCGAGTGCAGCGAGCCTTTCGGCCCAAAGGCCCGCAAAGGGGAAGGCGAAGGCGAAACGAAGGCGTCCGGGTGTCCAAAACGGGCCATGGTTTCCTCGTGTTGTTTTTCTGGAAGAACATAAGGCCATTGTAGCCACTGTAGTCTGCAGATTTGCCTTTACAAGTGTCCCCCCCACCAGATTTCTTTTCCGTCAACTTCGAAGGAGGGTCATTGATTCGGCCATGGTTTTAGGGATCTCAGCCAGCGAAGCAGAGTCACTCATCTTTGCAAGAGAGGATTTTGATCCGTCACTGTGTAGTGAGGAAGAACCCTAAAAAGCCATACACCTGTTATTTTTTCTCAAAACAAAGGAGAGGACGCTATTAGCAAAGTCTCAGCAAATGCTCAGAGTATGCTCAGCAAAGCTTGAGTTTGGCCCATCTTTAGCTTCGCGGAGAGCGTCAGGCGGCCTTCTCGCTGACCACGTGGGATCGGCAAGAGACCCAGGACCAGTAGCGTCCGATCGCTCCGTTTGTAGCGAGGCCCGGAGCCCCTAGTAGCGTCCTTGCTCGTACTGGATCGTCGGATGGTTCCGGGAACTGTTCCGTCTCTGAGGGAAAGACAGCTGTAACCTTGGCTTTGGTGGCCTCTGACCGAGGCAGGAGCAGGTTGAATGATGTTGTTTGCTTCAGCATTGGTTGTGCGACCTCATCACGGAGATGACCCAGCATAGGTTTTCTGGCGGACTCCACGCCGCTTCCCTTGAGTCGCCCCGCGGAATCAATGGCACCAATCGGGCCCTTGCAATTTAACTAGTAGCGTTGTCTTGTTCCTAGTAGTAAGGCCAGGAGCGTCCTTAGTAGCAATGCCCTTTGCTCTTAGTAGCGATGCCCTTGTTCGTAGTAAGGCCAGGAGGGCCTTGGAGGTTCCTACTTTCTCCAGTTAGGTGGAAGCACCCCCAAAGACGTTGCAGCTCGCAGGCTCATGCCGCAGCAGTAAAGCGGCACATCTTCCACGAGGCCTCCCGTGACGCTTTCAGAGCAGTGCTTTCTTGAGATGGACGCTTTCCAAGCTTGGCTGCCTTTGGACGTCAGGTCTTAGGAGAACACAACACTTTCAATGTTGTCCTTAGAAGCCAGGACGCTACTAGGGGCTCCTGGCACCGCTACTAGGAGCAAGGACGCTACTAGGGGCTCCTGGCCTTACTATGAGTAACAAGAAGCTAGTTGGAACAAAGGCTTAGAAACCTTAGTTGGAGGCCATCGCCGGTAGGTTGGTCCTTAGAAGCCTTATGCCGACGCTGAGCTCGGAGTTGCCGTTGACACATCGAAACCCCGCTTCGAGGGAAGCCACGAAGCCTGGTCCTGATGCCTGGGCGGCTGTTGCAGCAATGGCAACAGGAGGTCATTTGCGAAAAGACAAGGATGGACAAGGTGTACATTTTGGGGATCATTTCATTTAGGAATCATTTCTTGTGAACTGGCCCAAGAAAGAACATAAAACATTGGTGTTTGAGCTAGGGCTCTTATGGCTCGCACGGTGCCAGATTCACATGCGTCCAGGTGGCGAAATTCCTGGCCCCAGATTTGTTGGAGGTGATGCTATGGGATGGACGAGAGATGCCCGAGCCAGGTGCGTCAGACAACAAATGAAGTACCTTCAGAAACAAAAGAGAATGAGAAGAAACATCTGCATCCAACCTACTAGTGATGGCCTCCAACCTAGTAGCGAAGGCCATCTACACAAATAGTTTTGTGTTTTTTCCTTGAGGGCATCTACCCCTCGTTTGTTCTCCCCGAGCTCAGAGCAAATTTGGATCAAATTCCCTGGCCGAAGCTTCTTGCTACTAGTGGCGATGATGCACGTTGTTACTAGTAGCGATGCACTTGTTACTCGTAGTAGACTGAATCAGACATATCGCTTCTGAGTTGGCAGGCGAGAAGGTTTCGCTGCTCTTGGCACCCATTGAGCTCTTGAGTTTCAAGCGCCGGAAACGTGGCGAAGCCGCCCGGCTGTTCCCAGAAGCTTTCGGCGTTGCGCGTGGCCTTGTGAGAATTTCTCAGACGACCGAACATGACGCTGCTAGGAACACAGGGCATCGCTACTAGGAACAAGGACGCTACTAGGGGCTCCTGGCCTTACTACTAGGAGCAAGGACGCTACTAGGAGCTTTTTCTCCCGCGCGCGGGGGGGGTAGAGGACGCTACTGAAGACATGGCTTTCTCGCTGTAGGAGATGGATGCAGCAGTCAGTGCAGCAGACATGCTGAGTGTTGCTCTCAGTTGAAGGAAGATGGCCTTACTAAAACATGTGTCAGAAGATCTTTGTCACCATTCGGACTGTGTTGAACAGAATAGCTTTCCAGTAAGTCATGCACTCACAGAAGGATTGGTTTGTGTATCAGTGTATTTGTCGCTCTTCACAGCTTTTCCAGCCAGAGACATCAGTATGTTGATCATATTGTTCCCGAAGAGCCCGAGGTAGTTTAAGCCTTTCACGCATTGTGGTGGATGAGTTCCATGAACATTTGCACGTGGCCCTTCAATTGCAACAGCTGAAAGAGTCTTGTCTGCCGCTGCTTCCAGAGAGAGAGAGAGAGTCAACATTTCTCTTCTCCCTTTGCGCTTCTGAAATTCTTTTGTTTTGCCCATGCTTCTTCAGAAACCCGAGCCACCTGTAGTGCGATGATCTGCCCTTTCCACAGTCGAATCATCGAATCATGATTGGTATCCACTACGCAATGGGGCAGTTGCTTTGTGATTGTTTTTAGGTACGTTACAACCTTCCCCAGGACCACCCACGCATCACCTACAGTCTGAATTTAACAGGGCTGGAGACATTGGGACCATTCGTTTCGTTTCCTAATTGCAGTTCTATGTGTACCATGCCTTTTCTCCATTTTCCGACAACATCCTCCAAATCCTGTTTTTCACTTCGTTTCACGAGGACCTGACCGAGACTTCGTTTTGGGGCTTGACCGGGACGCCCTGCTTGGACGGCTTTCTTCCCGTCGCGGAGCTGCTCCGGGCCTGCAGCGCGGTGGATTTGATGCCCTTCCGCCGGCAGCTGGATGCCCACGCCCTGGTGCGGAGAAGTCGTGAGTTTCGGAGCCAAAACGATGGAGTAACAAGTGCCACGCTAGTAGTAACAGGTGCCTTACTAGTAGTAACAAAAAAGCTATTAGAATTAAAACATTAAATCTAAATTATTAGCTTCTTGTTACTACTAGTAAGGCACCTGTTTGGAGTCAAATGCAGACCGAAGAGCCTTGACCTTTCTTCCCACCGCGATCGCAATTTCGATGAAGCCACTTTCGACAGGACTTTGGGGTTTTCAGCTGAAGACTTCAAGACTGGTTTCCCAAAGCAGACTTCAAGACATCGCCCTTGCAACTAGTAGTTACCGCCAACTAGTGATAGCAGCTAATGATTTGCACCTGGGGAACTGAGAATTAGACAGGCTGCAGGATAGATGTCGATGGCATCTCGATAACACATGATAACACCAGGTGTGCAAAGAGCCCATTTGTTGAATCTCTTTCAGAAGAAGCTACTAGTACCAAATCGGCATCGCTACTAGGAGCAAGGACGCTACTAGGGGCTCCTGGCCCTACTACTAGGAGCAAGTAGCTACTAGTAACAAGGTTCGCTACTAGTAACAAATCGGCTTCGCCGCTTCGCTAATTAGTAAATCTTTCATTTGCGTTCCAGGCTCAACGTGCTTTGGAATACATGGTTCGCGCCAACGGCAACTTGGACGGCTTAGAGGCTGGGACTCTGAACCGCCGGCGACCTGTCGAATCCTCAAATCGGACACTTTGCTCGTTGGGCGCTTTCCTTTGGCTTTTTGTCCAAATCATTTCAGAAGAACCAAAAAACGAACAAACCTCATTAGTCAAAGAGAGGTATCAGATTCATGAGTCCAACAAACCTCATGAGTCTTGCTTTGAGACCATTCCTGTCTTCGGAGGTCCATGAAGAGTTGGTATCACTTTACCAGACCCCTGCAGAGCGTGCCATCTACGTCCACTTGGCCAACCGCCACCGCCCCCGCCCCAGCTCCGGTGACTCGGACTCGCGACCCGAGGAGACTTGGAGAAAGAACCAGCGCAGACGACGCGAGTGTTCGTAGCGAGGGTTTCTTCCAACCTGTTCGTAGCGCCTGAGAACTGTACTGGCCTAAGCCAAACTTGGCTTGTTGCCCCACTTGCAGTTTCGAACAACTTGAATCCAAAGGAGAAGGGGGGTTGCATCAGCAAGAGGCAAGAGGTCATGTTCGATACAAGGAAACTCCAAGCTGAAGCAGCTGAAGCAGCATTCTGCAGATTCCCGAGATTCATCTCCCTGAACTGCCCAGGAAAATGATGAGAAAGAGGGTACGCTTGGGTCTGAACTACTTCAACTATGTTCCTTGGCTACAGTTATATATACTGTACCGTGGCATTGAAAGGCTGGCTTTGTTTGACAAAACCAAAAGTCCAGTCATGAAGTGTCATGCTATCTGGTGCTATCTCTCGATGTCATTTGCTCTCGTTTGCTCATGTTTAGACCGACCTTTTTTTCTTTTCTTTTTTTTGTTTCTCCTAGCAATGGTCTTCAACCTAACAGCCTTGAGCCCCCGAGGCTCAAGGTATCATGCGAACGTGAGGCTCTCACTTCCGCTTGGACGGCCCCTCCGACTGCGATGCGGAGACCGAAAGCGCGGCCCTGCTGCGGCGCCGCAAGGATGCGTGCGAGACATCGCGAGCCTGGCTACTGTTGGCGGCCCAAAAGATGGAGATGCACATCCTACAGGTCCACCGCTTTGGGAGTTCGCCACATTGTCCCACTGGTTTCAGTGTTTGCTTTCCTTCTTGGCGTAGACTTGGCGCATCTTTGGATTGCCGGCTCTTTTTTTTCTCAAATTTTCGTTCCGTTCCATTCGCAGTTCTATCCCGTGCTGTGACAAGGCGCAACAGGCCGAGATGTTACCCACCTTGGTGGCGGAGCAGTATGCGCAATTGCTTGCTGAAGTGGATGGTGGCTTAGCACAGAAAACCGATAGTAGGAACAATGTTCGCTACTAGGAACAAGTGCATCGCTTCTAGTAACAGGTGCCTTACTAGTAGGAACAATGTTTGCTAGTAGAAACAGAAAACCGAAGATGTAGTAACAAGTGCCACGCTAGTAGTAACAGGTGCCTTACTAGTAGTAACAAAAAAGCTATTAGAATTAAAAATTAAATCTAAATTATTAGCTTTTTTGTTACTACTAGTAAGGCACCTGTTACTACTAGCGTGGCACTTGTT